AAATAACCTGCATATTTATAGATTAATATTGTGAGAAAAATACATGTAGGCACTCTTCGACAAAAAAGATTTATGATGAAATAGGTTGGCAGTAAGATATTCCTATAGGGGGCAAGTCCGCCATTGTATTTTAAATCTTTCTAATGTGTCCAATGTAAAATATGTACAATTAAGATTTTACAATACGATACAATTCAATACATAAGCGGTTTCGCGGTTTACAGATTATTTTATGTACAATGAAAATAGAATGTCACTCCACCTACACAATTTTTTTTTTTGATGGGTGAAAATGGTAGGGTAATCCTGCCTGCGCTAACGGGATACGCTGGCGGAGCACCAGTGAAGGGTGATAGATGAGAATGAAAACAGGCCAGTTAGCCCATCATTATGAATTCATCAGGAATTAACCATGATAGTTTCCAGGGAGAATCGCGAGGAGGTCGACCTGGTTGGATATATTGCTAGCAATAGGATTCTCAGTGTCCATTACTAACAATCCCTTCCTCCCCCCCACCTGCACTATTGGTATGCGTTGATAGTGCACCAGTGAAGGCTGAAAGCAAGTGAATCGATCACGATGGTTTCCAGGGGAGCCTACGTAGAGGTCGATCTGACATGATATACTACTAGCAATATTCTGTCAGGTCATCTAGAGACCACTATGGTTAATTCCTGGAGAATTTGCAGGGGAACTAACCTGATTTCTTTTATTACCTTCCTTCACTGATGCCCAGTCAGCATATATAGCGATAGCGCAGGTAAAGTAATCTTAGTAAACGATAATGAAATGGTAACCCACCTGCGCTATCGGTATACGTTGGCGGGGCACCAGTGAGTGGTGATAGGTAAAAATAAAATTACTCTACTCTTACTAGATCAGTTAGCCCATTGTGACGGTTTGAATAAGAATTAATAATGACAATTGTTTTCAGGGAGAACTGGGTGAGGAGTGACCTGATCTGATCTCCATTGCTAGCAATATAGGATATATTTCTAACCGGGTATATTGGAGATTAACGTTGCCATTACTAACAATCCCTCTCCCCCACATTCCTTTTTCATCCCATTAAAAATTATATACAATGACAGGATGGATAGATAAAATAAGCATGATTTGAAGTCAGTCAGCTCTTCGTAGCGAATTTAGGGGACCTACTATGAAATGAAATTCCGATGTTTCGGACTCAATTTCGTGTTTTCGTTCATACCTAAATCGGCCCAGTAAATGGAGCTTAACATTTCGTTAATAATAAATCCTACCATAAGAATCCAAAGGAATAATATTTTTATATTTTTAATGTTTTTGAACGGTAATATTTAAGTACTCGTATTATGTAATTTTAACATCAAATTTGTGTTACGTTCGATTCCAAAATTTCAGAAAACATTTCATAACAGGCCCTCAGATTTAACCACGATTGTCCATGATAAAGGAAGACGTGGAAGTCCACCTGGGTTTAATTCCCATTATAATGGGAAAAATGATAATTAGTATTGAAATCTAACACCCCCATTGCCAGCAAGTACCCTAGAAGGTTGATCTCCAAGCGGATCTCACTGGAAACTATCGTGACTGATTTATCGTTGACTCATCCTTTTTCATCCTCACAGATGCACCGCCAGTGTATACCGATAGCGCGGCAGGGGTTACCGGAATGGTAACCCCGCCCGCGATATCATTATCATCCATTAAAAAAATAACTGAACCTAGTATCTAATAATAGATAATGAAATAGCAAAATTTAATAATGATATTTTATTGAGTAAATTTTGCATTCATTCTTTAAGCAAAAGAAGATTGTTTTTGGGTCAAATGTTTGACAAAATTTGTCATAGTATGTATGATTGTTTTGAGATAAATAATCAACTTTATTATCATGCACGTAAAGATCATCCTGTGTATTTAGTGCTATGTCTCTTCGTTTATTTGCATGGAGGGATTGTAAAACGTATGCAGGAGATCATTCACCTTTGAAATGTGCTATGAAATATTACAATGATTACATTTACCGACTAGCGATTAAACCCCGCTTCGTAAAACCAGAGGGAGACTTTGTACAAAAGTCGATTGCTTGGGTACCTCTGTCCTATTCGTGTTTCAACCGTGAAGCAGTTGTGTTTGCATGGCTGTGTTTCGGTTTGAGGGGTGGGTGGGATATGGCGTGAATTTACTGGATACAGAGGAATAACACCTGAGTCCTCAAGAATGACAACGCATGGGGAGTATCATGGGCGAAACAGTATACTCTGTTATGTCCATGGTACTGCTCATGTCTATAGGCTACGGTTACCACTTTCCATCAGGTGGGCCGTCAGCTTATTTGCCATTCTAAGTTGCATAAAAAAAAACAAGTAGACAGAATTTTCCAAAATCAATACATATAATAAAAAAAAGTTACAGCCTGGTCATGGCTGGAAAGAAGCCATATAGTATATTTAAAAAAAGAATAAGAATGATTTGAATTTTAGCATACCATTCTTGTATCTCTGTGTGTAATGTCTTATAACTATAATTTTGTTATGTAAATAAATATAAAAAACACTAGTGGAACTATTAAAGTGGTATCATTTTGGAGTAAATCGTCTATTTTTGGTCCATCGAGTCGGAGTATCGAGGATTAACGACAAATTTAAACTGCTTTTTTGTACGAAGTCGGCGAGCGTCAGTTGTTGTTGTTGAACATTGTATCGTCATATTGCAGCCGTAAGGACATCAAAGCAGAACTGAACATAGTATTGTAAGTGATAAGTGCTGGTGAACTGTGAGTACATTTTATTTATCTAATTACAGAAGACTAAGGAATTTACTCTAAACATTTCATATAAATATTTACTTGTAAAAACTTTGGATATTATTGAAACTTTAAAATTAAACTTATACAATGGATTCATATATAAAAGTACAGCTTGATTTAAGTGAAAGAATTAGTAGAGCAAAATCTAACTTCAAAAAGGCACCCAAGGAGCGACTTCGTTCTATAGATTATATAAATACTAGATTAGAAGCTTTAGAAGAATTATGGCGTCAGTTTAGTTCGACACATACACAACTCATTCAAAATACAGACTACAAAGATTTGAATGCTAGTTCCTACGTATGTAATAACGTCTATGATTCTACTGAAGAGTTATATATAGAATACAAATTTCAACTGAAGGAAGCATTGACTAGTTTAAGGCAGTCTAGTACTGAAAATGCAAGTTATTCCGAACAAAACAATAGTAATAATATTAATTGTAATTTAAAGCTGCCCAAGATATCTATATCCCCGTTCTCAGGTAAATATTCAGAATGGATTAGTTTTAGAGATCTGTTCGTATCATTGGTACACAATAATAAATATTTAGATGACGTACAAAAACTGCATTACTTGAAAGGATTATTAGTTGGGGAAGCGGAGCAATTACTACGTCATGTACCGATTACGCATGATAATTACACTATTTGCTGGGAACAATTGGAGAGAAGATATAATAATAAAAAATATCTTTCAAACTGTATTCTGAAAAGGTTTATGAATCAAAAAAGCATCAGTACTGAATCAGCTAGTACACTAAAGGAGTTGCTAGATACTACTAATGAATGTCTTCATGGGCTTAACAATTTAGGAATAGACATCAGTACTTGGGACGTGCTTGTTATCTATATTATAAGTCAAAAATTAGATATGGAGTCTCGCAAGCAGTGGGAACTAAAAATCAGCGAGTTCTCAGATGAGTTACCTACCTTGAAGCAGTTCCAAGACTTTTTAGAAACTAGATTAAGAGCGTTAGAGTTTATTGATCCAAAATTGTCTAAGTCTAATGTAGTGCATAAAAGTAATGTTATTAATAATAGCCCTAAAGTATATCACACAACCAATTTTATATGTCCTTACTGTTCTGAAAGTCATCGTTTAGCAAATTGTAAAAAGTTTTCTAAAGAGGAAACTGATATTAGACGCGAATTCGTCCAATCCCAGGATTTGTGCTTTAACTGTTTATGTTCAGGGCACTCTGTATTTGCTTGTCGTCAAATCTCTCGTTGCCGTTTATGCAGACGGAAGCATCATTCTCTACTCCATTTAAAAAATGTTACCAATATCAATTCAACCGACACTACAGGTATCGCAAATCAATCGGTTGAACATGCAACAACATCATCGTCTGTAGATCAATCCACTAGTGTCACAGCCTGTGTTTCGACCTCAAACTGTCAAGTCTTACTTGCAACAGCATTAGTTAGCGCACAATCGAAATCAGGTAATGGTATCACACTGAGATGTTTAATAGATCCAGGTTCTCAAGCTAGTTTTATTACTGAATCTGCTGTGCAATTGCTGACCTTAAAGAAGATACCACACAAAAGTGTAATTACAGGATTAGGAAGTGATCAGGGTCATTCATTGACCTCTAAGTCTATGGTATCGGTTTCATTACAATCACTTCATGATCCCAATTTTACGTTTAAGGTTCAAGCTTTTGTCTTGAGTAAACTCACTTCAATCCTCCCTGAGAGGCAAATTATTGTAGAACCGTGGTCAGAGTTTTCAAATATCAAACTGGCAGATCCATCATTTCATACACCAAACAAAATCGATATTATTCTCGGAGCAGATGTTTACAGTCAGATCTTGTTAGATGGTGTAATCAAAGGTCCACCAGGTGTACCTATAGCTTAGCGAACAACGCTTGGTTGGATTATTTCTGGCCCTGTAAATTTAGATAAAAATAATATACAAAGGCTACTAATTAGTATGCATATTTCTCATGTAAGTGAAGATGACTTATTAAAGAAATTTTGGGAGTTGGAAGCTGAAAACAGTGTAGATATTAAAAAACATTTATCTGAAGAAGAAAAGAAATGTGAAGAAATATTTACAAATACTACGAAGCGGGACAATTCAGGGAGATATATAGTTAATCTTCCATTCCGTAGTGATGATCCCAGTCGTAAATATGGCAATTCTAAAATTATTGCAACTAAAAGATTTCTGCAACTAGAAAAAAGATTATCAATGGATCCTAATTTAAAAATTAAATACGCTGAAGTCATTTCAGAATATCTAGAATTAGGACACATGGAGAAAGTACCAATAACTGAACAAGATGATCCTGAAGCAGTCTATTTACCACACCATGCAGTGGTGCGAGAGGATAGAACCACTACAAAAGTAAGAGTTGTTTTCGATGCAAGTTGTCCTGGTACAAATGGCGTATCTTTAAATCAAGATTTATTAGTAGGACCCACTCTTCAAGCTGACTTGCGTCATCTCTTAATACGTTGGCGTCGTTATCCTATATGTCTTGTGTCTGATATAATTAAAATGTATAGACAGATAAAGGTTGAAGAAAGACACACTAATTTTCAACGTCTGGTATGGCGTGATCATCCGGAAAGTGAACTGCAACATATGAGACTATTACGAGTAACATTTGGAACGGTATCAGCACCTTACCTTGCTGTTCGGTGTTTACATCAAATTGTTTATGATGAAGGCAAAAATTATCCTCTTGCTGCTGAAAGAGTTCTAAATCATTTTTATATGGACGATTTACTAACAGGTTGTGAGTCAGTCGAAGAAGGTATTCAAATCTATAAGGAGATAAATGAGTTATTGAAAAAAGGAGGATTTGAGCTTCAGAAATGGAGTAGTAATAGTGAGGAATTATTGAAAGTAATTAGTGAAGAGGATGTAGCTTCACAAGGAAGCGTGCAATTAAAAATAGATAGTGTTTTGAAAATTCTGGGACTGACCTGGAATCGAAGTAGTGATCATTTTGAATATGTTGTACAACTGCCTGAACTGAAGGCACCTGTAACTAAAAGAAAAGTTATTTCCGATATTTCTCGGATTTTTAATTCAGTTGAATGGTTAATGTCTGTTATTCGTGTAAGAACATTTATCCAAATGTTATGGCTCTCTGGAATAGGTTTAGATGAAGAATTACTAATACAACTTTTGAATAAATGGTTACAGTATCTAAAGAATCTTCAAGAAACTTACCTGGTTGATGAATTAAAGAACGAAGAAAGAAAAAAGAAAGATTAGCAGTAGTGTTATTATAGATAGTGTTATTATTAGTAGATTAGAAAAGAAAATTGTACTTACCTTCTCGAATCCGTGGAATGATGAAGATGAAACTCTAAGAGTTGATAGACAGTCGCAATGTACTAATATTAATGGTACATATCATCAGTGCATTATTTTACATAGTTTGCACACTATAATCTTATTAATAATATATAGAAGTTTACTTAAGTTTCTCCTTCGGTTTCATCATAGATATAAATGTAATCATAAGGTCCCACAACTACAAATAGGTGACATAGTGTTGGTGATGGAGAATGATCTTCCGCCAGCATATAATGGCTTTATGGTTTTATAGTTGAAAAGCACCCGGGAATAGACGGTGTTACACGTGTTGTTAGTTTACGCTGCAAAAACAGCATTATAAAAAGGGCTGTATCAAAACTTTGTTTTCTACCATAGTTATTTTGTTTATTTTAAGAGTGAGCGTCTAACATTAATTGATAACTATAATTAAGATCTAAAGCAGTTCAAAGTATTATGTTATGTTTGTTCATTATTATATGTAGGGTAATATTGTTAAATTTCTACCAAGGACATTGTTTATTCTTTAATTATCTTAATTTTGTAAAGTATTTATTCATGGTGGGCGGATTAAGGACAATATTGTCATATAGTCCTTGGTGGGCGGTATGGTCATGGCTGGAAAGAAGCCATATAGTATATTTAAAAAAAGAATAAGAATGATTTGAATTTTAGCATACCATTCTTGTATCTCTGTGTGTAATGTCTTATAACTATAATTTTGTTATGTAAATAAATATAAAAAACACTAGTGGAACTATTAAAGTGGTATCATTTTGGAGTACGTCGTCTACAGCCAAATCAACTGATCGGTTGTTTTATAGCATTTTATATTATATGTGATTCTTTTGATTGATATATAACTTTTTTATTTATTAACCGATTGAAATAAAACAAATACTAAATGTTAATTGGAGCGAACCGCAACGCATTAATGAAAACCGAATTTTTTTCTTTATTTTATACAACTTACCTAATGCTTGTCGACCTGACACACTCTGTATTTAATTAAAAAAAAACACAGCTATATGAATAGACATGGCATGTGGTATCATAAGATAGATTTTACTCATACTTTATGTCAACAGTTATTTATATCATTGCTTTCTTTTCACAAGACGCCGCTGACAGTGCAAATAAATCTTAATCAATACATATAATAAATTCGTAACTGATTGCTGTCTGTTTATGGAAACTATATAAGAAAAAATATTTTAGGAGTGGCTTTATGAACGTCATAGAACCGAGAACAATGATTTTTTTTTTAATTTTGCCTGTTTGTCTGCATTTTTATGCACGCTAATCTCAGAAACGGCTTCACTGATTTGAATACCGTGAATAGCGTGAATTTACTGGGTACAGAGGTACAACATCTGAGTCCTCAGGAATGGCAACACATGGGGTATCATGAGCGAAACAGTATACTCTGTTATGTCCATGGTACTGCTCGTGTCTATAGGTGACGATTACCACTTTCCATCAGGTGGGCCGTCAGCTTGTTTGCCATTCTAAGTTGTATATAAAAAAAAAACATCACTCCTGCATAACACTGTCTTGTTCATTAAAGATCTTTTCATTGGAAGTGCACGCAATTACAATCAGGAATACTTGTTTGTCGTTTTACATCAACATCGGAATGGTTTTGATATGTGGGGTGAGGGTGTCGCTTGAATCGTGTTTTGTGTATAATACACATATAAATACTAGCTGTTTCTCGCGGCTTTGCCCGCGTGTATCTGAATACAAAGTCTTATCTTATGTGTGAAGATAGGATATAACTTATTCGTATACCGAATTATATTTATATATTTACAAACTGTTACATTTATGATAAAAAAATCATGCAAAGACCAGAAAAAAACCTTAGCTTGTAACATTAAGACCACCCATTGTTTTCTCAGTGTGATCATTTCTTGCAATTGGGTTTGTACAAGTTTGTAAATAAAGTTTCTTTCTTAATTGTTTTTAATAATAAATTTACTACAGTAAGGTCTTGGAGCAAACAATAAGTAATATCTATTTATGTAAATAACCTTGGAATAGAAGAAAAAACCATATTACGCCGACCCCAAATAATAATTGGGATAAAGGTAGGAAGAGATTTTGTACAAAATTCGTCCAAGTACCTTTATCCCATTCTTGTACAAAAATAAGAATCGACTATGCTTAGAATTGAAAATAAAAAAAACTTGCTTGCAAGGGGGGAAGAAACCTCTTATTGCTTCTAGTACGGACTGGTATGTTCAAGAATACTGTGATAGATTGTAGCTTGGTAGCTTTTTATTTTCTTGTTTTTTTTTTTAAATACGAAGTTTGTGGTAATCATTTCATCCATTCATAATTTTTTTGGTTGTAAACTTAACTTATTTTTGAAAAAAGCGACGGCTATTTTTCTTCCATGTTCTTCTCAGCTAAAATTGCATTCCGAACTGGGCGATAGGTTTATATTTATTTATTTATTAATTTTAATAAAAGCGATGGCAATTCTCATTGCTAGCAATCCAGTCAGTTCGACCTCCACGCGGTTTCTGTTCGCCGCGATTATGCAGCTGACCCGATTTCATTCTCACCTATAGTCTCCTACTGATGCCCCGCCAGTTCGCGAGCACCAATAGCATAAGCGGGGTTACCATTCCATTTTCACTTCATAACTGTTCTTTTTCCAAATCTGTGTGGGATAAGGATAAGATAACTTGCGTTACAGGCGTAGCAACATAGTCCGGGAGAAAAGGAATTATTTGCAATGAAGAAAATATTTTTCATTGCAAGCAATGTACTCTTTTCAGGTCAACCTCCACGCAGTGTTTCCTTGATATCATCGTGGTAAATTCCTAGTAAATTCATCACAATGGACCAACTAATCTGCTATCATCATCACCTATCATCCCTCATTAATCTCCCGCCATTGTATACCGATAGTGCAGGCAGGGCTACCACTCTATTCTCATTAATTAAAAAAAAAACACCATAATATACAGGAATGACATGCATGAGGGGTAGAGGGTAAGGGATTGTTAGTAATGGAGACTCGCTGCCATGCAATGGAGACATCAGCCCCACTGCTAGTAATATACCCCATCAGGTTGACTTCCACATGGATCCTCTTGAAAATCATCACGGTTTTATTTTATGGGCGATACTGGAATGGTAACCCCGCCTGCGCTATCGGGATACGCTAGCGGGGCACCAGTGAGGGATGATAGGTGAAGATAAAAACACACGTCAGTTAGCCCATCGTGACGAATTCAACTAGAATTAACCACGATGGTTTCCAGAAGGAACCGCGTGGAGATCGACCTGTTAGGATGCCAGCAATGGGTCAATTAGACCCCGTTACTAACAATGCCTTTCCCCCCAACCATCACGGTTAGTAATCGTTGAATTCATCACGAAGGATCAACGGACTTGCTTCCATCTGCTCCTGTCTTCCCTTATTAGTGTCCCGCTTGTGTATACCGATAACGAAAGTCGGCATTCCATTATCGTCTATTAAAAAAAAACGCATGAGGGATAACCGTGGACGTCAAATATATTCTGTTACGTCCATGGTGTTGTTGATGTTTACAGGTAACGGTTACCATTTACCATGAGAGGGGCTATTAGTTTATTTACCATTCAAAGTTTTACAAAAAGGTATTAAACTACCATGAGGATTGTGCAATTGTATTTTAAAATACTCGTAATAAAGTTGGTCGAAGACATTGTGCAACAAGTAGGTATGTTCGTATATTGATATACGATATGACCGACACACATTCACACAATCGAGTTAATAAAATCCGCACTTTTAATGTATTTTTATCTATCTATTTATTTTATATATTTGAAAATGAATCGTGTAACCTGTTGCTAAGCGTAAAACTAGAAAACGGCTACATCAATTCAGGTAATTTGTTTCTTAAATCATCGTCGAAGTCGGAGAAAGATTTTTATGCAAAAAAATTTGGAATAATTATTCCGAAAAAATTTAAAATGAAAACTTTATTTACTTCTTCCATATTAAGTATTTCTAGCTTGCGAATATAAACACTTCAATACTTTTAACAGAACGATGTCTGTCTGGACTAAACTAATATTACAAAGAGGATTTGATTTTTTGTATGTTTGTTTGTAACGATACTCAAAGGCTAATTAACTGTTTTCAAAAATTCTTTTTTAATGTATATTAAGCGAGTAACCTGTAACATAGACCATATTTCGTTTTAAAAATAACTCCTACGTAAATAAGAGCAGCTGTAATAAAATTATAAAACTAAAAAATTCATTAAACACATTCATGTATTTATTAGCCCTTAACTGTCCACTACTTAACATAGCCTCCCCCATAAGGAGGCTTTTGCCAGTAGTCGCCGTTCTAAAGGTAGGGGCAGGTGGTTTTTGCAGCAGTTTGGCTTTTGGTGATGTTTTAAGAGAGATACTGCTACCCATCATTCGACCATACGCTCCCTTAGGCTCCTCTTACGACAATCACGGGAAAGGAAGGGGTGGCCCATTCTATGCAGAAATTTACCCGCTATGTAAAACACTATCTAAACGAGGAGAAGGGATTGTTAATAATGAAGGGACTACCCCCCTTAATATGTCAATTCCCACTCAGTTCCCCCTAGAAACCATCGTGATTAATTTATCGTTGAATTCGTCACGATGGCCTAACGAACCTGCTATTTCATTCTCACCAATCATCCATCACTGGTACCCCGCTAGCGTATACTGATAGCGCAAGCGGGATTTTCATTCCATTATCATCCATTAAAAAAATACTTTATAAACTTATAACTTCATACATACATACATACATATCTGTCACTTATAAATACAATTCGTCATAAATGTGAAGGGTTCGTTGTATAGAACAATAAAATATATATTTTAGATAGAACTAAATAAAGATATATATTTTTAGTTCAATAACAGTATTATTTAAAAGACGTTCTCTA